GAAAAAAACAAAATAAAAGGAAAATCCCCGTCCTTGTTCGGTTGCTGGTAAAGTGAACTCTATATAAAATAGCATAGTACCTTTTCGCTGCAATTGTTTACAGTCTTAATTGTTTTTATTGTACATATATATACATATATACAGACGGGTAGTATTGTTTCGTTTTCCTTATTCGATAAAAGTTTACTTGCCGGTGTGTTGTACAACTGCATTCGGTTAATTCGATATGAAACCAACCACCGATATTGGTTTTATTGTTGCGATCACGGGCTTCAGACATCTTGTGAAATAAACTACATACACTCGAATTTATTTATTATTATTATTATTATTTTTTTTTTATCAAACTGAACTTCTACTTCAATAAAATTCTTTTTTTCTCCAACGTTCTTTGCTTAACGAATTATAAAATCTATTCAATACAAAACCCTACTACGTGTTTAACTCTAATGCTTTCTTTATACCATCGTATAAGTATAGGTACTATATATAATTATATATATATCTCAAGTTAGCTATTTGTGATATGTTTGTCTATACCTGTATCGGTTGTAGTTGATTATATTGTTGTTATACGTTATACATTCGTGAACCCCACGAAGTGTTTTCGCGTTCGAAAAACACTTAAGAAAATTTACGGACGTTATACGTAACTTCATATTTTTTTTTCTCAAGACCAACCTAATTCGAATCCAACTATCCATCCTTCACCACCCTGGGTTTTATCTTTTGATTCGGACCCCCGCCTTGTAATTTCCTCCATCCCTTTTAATTAAATCTTTCCGTCCCGTCTTGGTTTTTCAAAGAATGCATGCCTACTACTTTACATCCTACATACTACGTATACGTAAATAGGTAACGTTAAATACGTACTTTTGTATTATTATTACTACGTCGAATGATGCGTGTTGTGCGTGTTTTATATTAAAACAGGAAATTTTACGAGTAAGAAACGTCTCGTATCGTAAATATTGCTTTTCAAACGATCGGTCCAACGGTTCTATCAGAGTGTATGGAGTGTATGTATATATACCGTATTGTTAATAAACCCGACGCAATCACTATAACAATATATTTATATATGGTGTATCGATACAATATAATATATACATGTACGTGTAATACGCGTGTTTATATACGTTTTAATGGTATTAAAAACTCTACGGCCGCGTGCACGTTTATTTATTTTTTCAAAGCGGAATCACCGGCCGTTATTTATAATATTTGTATACGTTTGTATTATTATTATGATTATATTATAGGTAGTTAATAATTTTGCTGTTTTACGATCCCGCTGCGGTACATATTGTACAACAATTATTCCTCTCGTGACGATGACCGTCGTATTGTTTACAAACAATATGTATCTATAGCAGCATCGTACTCCATGCCGTCGCTCACACGTTTTACCTCTGGGGTATAAATATTATCCAACAAAAATACCGACGACGGCCGCGATAGAAATGTGATATTATTATAATATTAAAAATCGCGTACGCATAAATTAATAATTGCACATCCGTCGTTGTTATAATGTATTATATTCCCATGTGCATATCGTCCGTTGGTCAACATATTCGCTCACGCACCCTAAAGTCTCGTATACTCTACGATGCATCGTATGTATAAACATAAACCAAATAAACAGAACGCAGAGACGGTTGTATATAAGCTTATATAAGCATAGCTGAATAAATTTTTTGAAAAAATATAAATAGTGTAATCTCCAAAGCCAACCTTTTAAATATCAGGAGGAGAAATTTCGCGTGTTGATTTTATTAACGTATGTTTCAATTAAAAGCTACATTACAACTAATAAATATAATATGTGTAATAGTTGACCATACTTGACTGGTTAATTAATTTTGCATCGTATCATTATTATTAATATTTTTATCAACTAATTTAAATGTAATTAACCATCATATTGCAATCAAATCATATAAACTAAACATACATTTTAATTTGATGACAACATAGTACTACCGATTCATAAATATTATATACGTTTTCATTATTAATATTATTTTTAATTAGTATACATTTTATAGAGTTCGATACTTTGAATATCTATGTTGGAGTTTACCATTCCCCTACAGAAATATGACCGTTATATACGCATATACCGGAACCCTTGGGTATAGGTAAAGATTATTTATTGAGGGAATTTGATATATTTAGGTAATAATTATTTTTATTATTACCTATTTATTTACTAGCTGGGATTTTTAGAATAGAAAATGGTTCAACCCTCAAATCTCCCTTACCTACGCCACTGCCGGGACCTCCTTATTTTTCAAACTCACACAGGGAGAGTACGAACAGGATGCACCGATTGCCGTGTATGGGTTGAATTCTCGAATCGTAATAATTACCGATGTACACACGATTATTGTTCGATGTTGTATGGTTTAGTTGCTGGTTACTCCTTCGAGAAAACGAAGCTACGGATACAGTTCAGCGTTGATTTCTCTTGTGTGTTTTTTTATTATTTTTTTTTTTCATTTATAAAACGTCAAAACACGTTTGTGAAACGATTTCGGTAGTTACTCACAGCCGGTGTACGCACAAACGGGGTACACTATAAATGACTATGTTTTCTTACAACGAATTTTTACCGTGTTATTATTTTTTTTCTTTCTACTTGTAGTTCTGTTCTTTAACTGAACAAATTCATAATCAACTATATATATACTCGTTAATATCCGAGTTTATATTTTCAACGAATATTAAAACTTTTGAAAAGAGTTTTGTAGCTTTTTAGTTTATTTTATCTTGCTATTCTTTATCGAAGGATGAAAAAATAAAATAAAAGAAAGACATTATAATATTTTTAATAAGATAGTATGAAAATGATTAAAAAAAAAAAAAAATTAAAAATTGTCTAAACGTTACAAGCGATTATAATCTTAAAACGTATTATCACGGCGGCAACAGCTCAGATTTTATTAAATCTCAATGAAATTAACAACGGATTAACATTTCAATGCGTAAATAATTAATTCATCTTTCATAAATATGACATGTTGACCACGCGTAACTGTTAATATAATACTTGATTGTTTCTCTAGGCTTGATATTTTTCAGCATATAACACGTGTGCTAACTATCACATCTACTTGCAGTATTCGCTTCGTTGTGAAAACTTGCGAAAGAATAGCACTATCTAAACGATTTGTCGGTCAACAGCTAGCCGAGTTGGTACACGCCAATGCATATACCCCTATAGTCACGCTGAGAGTCCGGAATATTCTCAGGGAGTAGACGTTGTCAATTTTAATGACATAATAACATTATAAACGTGAAATCATATCGTTTTAATAATTTCGACCGGTCTAAGTTCTGCATAATATTATGGGCGAGTCCGTTTTCGAACTAAAACGTACACTTTCCTTTTCGGCTGATTCACTTTTCGACCAAAACAAAAATGTATATAATAAATTTAAAATAATAAAATAATGATAACAATGTTTGATTATGATGGAAGCTACTATAATATATTAATGACGATACAGGGTTTTACTCACGTAGTGAGATTTTAGGTTCGCATACAGAGCTTAATTCCATTTGTAACAGTATCAAGATCTGTATAAAAACTAGGTTAGGCTTAGACTACAATTCCCCTTAGGGCGAAGCCCCATCTCCCCGAAAAGTGCCACGCAATGAAACTCGAATTTGTGAGTGGAGTCAGCAGGCGTAACGAGCGAAGTCCTAAAATTCTTAAAATTAAAGTTTCGATTTTTTGAAAAAAAAATGCAAGCAATTTTCATTACGATAAGAGATCAAAACTAGATACAAAATATTGTTTTCTTTTATATTAATATTTTAATAATTACTGACAAAAATTGTACATTATTATTTTATTATTATAAATTTATTATATAAATTTTTATTTTGGTCGAAAAGTGAATCGGCCGAAAAAGGAAGGGTACGTTTTTGATCGAAAACGGCCATGCGCGATATTATATCTCTTGCTATCGACGTTAGACCTGGTAACAATGTACAAATTTAAGTAAGCACTAACAGCAACTGCCCGTATGATAATAGCATTATGTTATCGATTTTCCTCGGACCACTGTTTTATTCCGAAATGTCTAGTTGAAAATATCGTCCGCGGTCCACCCCATTCAACGGCTATAATAGTATGTTACAAATACTCGGACATTTTCAATAATAGTATCGCAAGGCACAAAGTGGTCTGTATTGTAAATTAACATGCATTAATTAATAGAGTTAAAAAAATTACAAAAAATATAATTTCTATTTGTTTTTAGAGGTAAACAAAGCGGTTATCTAAATGTTCATAAAACTTACATATTTTAGGTACATAAATTATTTAAAACGTTTTTATGGGTATTGAATCCAAATATCATGTTCTTTTTGTAATCAACCCCTAGTTTGGCTTTATGAATAATAAGGGATTCTTTTCATTTTTTTTATTAAATGAATTACATTTAATTTTAATTTTGCTACATTTTATTTAAACATTAATCAGTGCTTAATCTTGTAGCATTATAGTTAATATCACTATTATTACCGCTATCATTATCACTATTCAAATTTGTTTTATCTAACATTATATTCAATTATGAAGCTAAATCATCATTTAATAAATCGTGTGAATATTTTTTGGCATTAATATTATGGTCGATATTAATAACACATGTAAGACGTCTTCGTTGGTGTTTATTCTTGAATTTTTTCTCACGTGGCGTTGTTTGTACATTTTATAATATTTATTTCGACATTATTGGCTCTCCCTGATTATTGTCATAAAAAAAAAGTTAAAATATGCCAATAAGAACACCGATAAGAAAAAGAAAAAAACGAATAACATCAAGCGTTATTGTTCATAATTAAAACAAAAACCGGAGGCAAACCACGCCTTGCAAGTGAACACACGTAGAAAGGAATGTCGTTGATAATAAATAATTGACATAACAAGTTGGACAGGTTAGTCACAATATTGCAGTATTGTAGTTGCAACTACGTGACTATTTATACACGGGACCGCGTCACGATCACGAACAAAGTTCTCTCCGCGTCATCGCAATGCGCATTACGTAACGCGTTCGTCGGCAACAGATGATAATATTATGTTCACGCGATGTTCGGGACGGCCGCAGTCGTGTAACACGTTTCCAGCAACACGTATCGTCCCTTCATCGAAAAATTGCTTTCTCACAATCCTTTTCTCTCTCTCTCTCTCTCTCTCTCTCTCTCTCTTTCTCTCTCCTTTTAACTCATTGTTGTTATTATAAATAAAAAAAAATAAAAAAATGACTCAAGCCCTGTCCGACGACATCAAGTGCCTGGAAAATGTGTCCTACGACGTCGTAAAAGTAAGTCAATCGACACGATCATTTCTAAAAAACTATTGGCATTACAATAATATTGTTATAATATTATCGTGACGTGATGACTGAACATTATTACGACGCTGAGCGTGCTGAAAACGTAAGGTTTGCCGAGTCTTACACTTATCACAACAACACAACTACAATAGCTGCGCGCGTGTACGCGCGGTATTTTTATTTTCCGTCGGGCCGCGATGTAAACACGAAACTTACACTCCGCGACTCAGTTGATTTTTGTTTAATTCGTTTTATATTTAATTTTTATTTTTTTCCAATCGGAATGATTTATACTACGTACGAGAGTTGTTCGATGGGCATCAAAAAAACAAACGCCGTCGACGTGGCGCGTCCGTTTTTATTTATTGTTATTATTTTTACCTACGGCGATGATGATAATAATATTATTCTACTGTACTACGTCGTGCGTTTGACGCGTTTAATCAAATCCTCGGAAACGCCGGTCGATGCGAAGCGATTTATTACCGCGTATAAATATTTTATTATAACGATGACGCGTGTGAACAATGTCTACATCCCGGTCCCGTGCACTAGTCACGCGAGTTCTATTGGATCGATGTCAAGTTGTTTTCTTCTCGTGTCAGTCACGCGTGTAGATCCTGCAGAGTTTAATTTCGGGCGCTTTTCAACAACGGAATCGACCCCTCTTCCCACATATACCTCCCTACCCCACACGTCTGGAAATTGCCATTTATTAAGGAAATATAATGTTATTATGACAAACGAACAAAACTATCGTAACATAAAACCATCGTGATCGCACATTTATTATATTTTACATACTCGGTGGGTCATAAAAAAGCTGCGCGAACTTTCGTGTTCCGATGAAATGGATCGCGAATGGATTTGTGTTTCAGAATAGGCACGTGGCGAGTTATGTATCCGTTCATTTTCAATCTTAATTTCACGTCATCGCGATACATATCACTATCGCCATGATTTTCGTTTTACTCGTCATAAGCATCCCACCAACGGTTTTCGCGTTTTGGCCGTACAACACCACGCGCTGCTGACCGGAAACATCGAATTGAGTCAACACAAATATTTAATAGTCAGTCCCACGCTCGATTACGGGAGTCGTTAAAGCTACTGTATCCTCGAGTCATCACAAAAAGACGGTCCGTCGACGAATTCGTATTTTGTAAACCAAATGTGTGTTGATCTGCAGCGTTATTTAAATCTTATCGTAATTGTCTCCGGAGTTATCTTTACTTCATGTTGTTAATCTCATTATGATAATCGATATAAACGTTGACGGTGTATCCAATATGCAGTCATACACATTTTATTTTATCCAATTGGACATTCGCATCCGGACGTGCGAATAAGTCAGTGGCGTCTAACCCGTGGCCCGCGAAATTATCAATGTGGCCCGTCACATTTTTTTTTAAACAAAATATTAAATAAAAAAGTAAAATTACTATAAAATACAATTTTTTTTTTTAATTTATTAATTTTATTTTCGAGTATAAATTTCACGATATAACCCGTTCACTTAAAATACCGTACTGATCAAATTTATATGTACCTAAAGTGTGTACCTCAATCTATAATAATCTTTCCAGTAGTGAATAAAATATTTGAAAACAAATCCAATATGTACCTACATGTATATTGTATAACTATATGTGTAAAATAAATAACGTTATTAGATTAATATTGATATTATTCGTAATTTTACAATTGGTGGCCCGCTCTAAGATAATTGTTTACCAAAATGGCTCGCCAAGGAAAAAGGGTTAGATATCACTGACATAAACGGAGATCACAGAACTGAATTCGGTGTGTTATTCCCGTGTAGAGTGACCACGTTTACAACGAGTCTCGTGGTATTTACTGTCATCTAGCGCACGTTTCTCCTGAACCGTGTGTCGAAGGAAAAAAAGAAAACGCCACTGACTGAAGTGCACTTTGTACGCCTCCAAGTACGTGTTATGTGGAAATATTTTAAAACCGCCGCTGGTGCTGGACGGTGTATACTGATTACAATATTAGTACTTCAGCACTATACAATTTTCGAATTTCCTGCTATTTTATTAATATTATTATTATTATTTTTAAAAATGTTCATCCTTATGCATATGTTTGCTGGAAAAAATATTCGAATATCTTTTCGAACAATATTCTTTGGAATAAGAAATATTGAAATTAATTAATCATTGTTGCAGGAAACCTGTATGTAAATATATATATATATATATATATATGTGTGTGTGTGTGTGTGTTTACATTTTATTGAGACGGATATTTATTTGTATCATTACTGAAAAGTTATATTCGGCTACGATCGATGTTTGGTTTGCCCATATGATAAACGCACCATTCGAATACGCGTATTATTATACTGTACATAACATGCAATATGCGATATTATTGCATTTTAGCATAATTTACGTGATTCTGACTTGGATTTGTAGTTCGCATAAAACCGTAAGAGTTTCTACAAAATAATATATTATAGTAACTTCTCCCATATTCGGTAGTATTGCATTTGTATATTGAACTATGATATTATATATAAAATACCGACCTAGTATTATATAGTAGTAAATGTCCGGCTGTTGCTGCGCTAACCGATACACAATGCCGTTTTCGACTTTTATTTATTGATGTTTATTTCCCTCGCGTCTTATACGATTGTTTCATTGTCTCCGATATGATTGTTTTATTCAAATCGGACAACACATTTCATATACTTGACTACTGTTATTTATCCTGCATTTAAAAACAGTAATATTTTAACACATAATTTATTACTATTACGTATAGGCATTTACTATCTTCGGTATTTACCGCGCGATGTATTTTTATACAGAGAATGGGGCATTTCACCATGTGAATATTATAATTAATGGTATTCCATTTTATACGCTTAATGACATTAATTATTTTTAATAAATATACAGCGTAATATTGTATATCCAAATCGTTTGTTAAGATAAGATGACATTTAATCACATTTTATAATTCCATAAAACAATTCATTAATTGATATTCAATATATTCGTACATTGACACCAGATAGTAAGTTCGATAAGACGGAAAAATTATATAATGCAACTTACGTATCACAATATTGGTTTATTACCAATATGATAATCTGTAAGTATTACGTGTATTACGTGCTTTATGCTTATTTAGAATTTTCGTCCAACGTCAAAAATCGTTTTGGGACATCCTATAAATGAAATGTAGATAAGTACCTACTGTGTCTTGTTAGTAATTCTTAGATACCAGTGGTAATTTAACTCAGTCCATAGTAGCCCCTCCCCCCGAAAATATTTTCTGTATATGCCATAATACTCATACCACATATATATATATATATATATATATATATATATATTACGTTCGTGGCGTTGCCAATGCAAACTGGAATTAGCTCAATCTCGTAAAAGCAAAATAATCCACTTCAAACAATTTTTTTTTTATTTCAAAATAAGCCGAGGGTACTAAATTAAAAATCGGCAGTGCTCAGCGCCTCCATATGTGCGTTACCGATTTATTATGATTCACATACATGTTTTGTTCTTAGAGCGTACGGAATTTTCGAATCGTACGGGAAACGTAAACAAGTGTACACGTCCAGTGGCTGGCTGCATGTTCTACCACTGTACTGGGATCGCGGACGAACGCGATTTTGACGTTAAAAAGGTTAACGTTCAAAAATCTACTCTTGCGTGCCATAGCGCAACTACTGTGTTTGCGTTTTTAATTATAACCGCGTGGTCGTCTTTTCGCCCGAAGATAAATCGTCGTCGGTAAAACGTAGCCGGAGGCCGAACGTTTCCGGCTAACCGCGTATTTGCGTACGAGAATTGTTTGTTTCCTTTTTTTTATTCCAACCTCTAATTCTCCAACCCGTTCATTTTCGGCTCGTTGGCTGTGCACAGCGCACAAATACGAGTCATGATGCACATAAAAACAGTGCACTTGATACACGCAACAACTAAAACGTCGTAATGTCACGCGTCGAGTGGTCAGTTTAGCAGCGAAATCATTTTGACTGCGATTTTCAGCACAAAGTTCATTTTGAATGGGTGTCCGGCTTCGAGAACAGCATTAAACGACTGGCCGTGGACGTGTTCGAAACGATCGGAGTGACGGACGAGAAAGCGCTGACCACCGTGGTCAAAGGTCTTGACCTGTTCCAGGAAAATCTCAGAACGAAAATGGACGAGCTAGTCAAACAGGTATACCCTTACATCCACACGTCCGTGCCGCAACGCGTGATCGATAATTTATAACCGTCGGGTGTGCGCGATTCCTCTCCGAGAATTCAACATCATATTCCCGATGGTTTATCGCAAGTCGTGCCACTGACTGTGTTTAATTCTCGTGCTGGGGTATTTGAAACGTAAATACGGTCGAAACTTTAAACCGTCATCTTTATATTAATGGCACATTTCTCAATTTCGTTAATGTTTTTAATAACCGATAGCTAAATTTTAAATTAAATTTGTTATTTCCGTGATAACGAAGTTTGATAACCATTGCACCTGCACGTCGTACCAGATACCACCATTAGATCTAAAACCTATTTTAAAATATTTCGATAGTGTATTTATTTATATAAACACTATAGTTTAAAATCTTACGTCGTACCAACTATTGGTCGGTCGATCTAGGCACGGAATTTTAATTCCAGCTATATAATTTATTAAATCTGTCCCATGTTAGGTATTGCTTGCGGTCACAATATTCGTTTAGAAACCGTGTACGATGACATTTTAATATATCCGAGAAATCTTTACTCGATTTTTACGGACCACGAACATCGTTATTTCTAATTGAATTGACATTTCCCTAATGTAAATTGCGATGTACAGGCGATCGTCTATTTATCCGTCCACAGATCGTCAGTAAACCCGGTTTGAGTGAGAGTGCTAAAAAGTTCGTGGTCGAATGGGCCGATGCGTGTAAATATCAGATCGATCTCAAGTACCATATGATGGGTGGCGGCCCGGACGCGCAAAAGGTACGCTGGAGCTTCGAGAGTGCCATAAAGTATATAATTATTTGTGCCACCCATTTGGCCGACCAAGACGACGACGTAGAGTTCAAAAAAGAATTGTCCGACTTCGTGAAGGACGTCATGATTCAAAGTCTAATCGATGTTCTGGAAAATTTGAAGGTGAATATACTTGACGTAAGGTTTAATACTATAAGTGTATGGAAGCAATGTGGCACCCTGTGGTAATGCATGTTTTACGTTCGTTAAATTACGTTTGATACAAAATCGCTGTTCTATCGCATTCGTGTACATTATTATTTGACCCGATCAGAATTGTCTTTGACCATATACTCGTATGTATACAATTAACATATTATTTTAACCGCTGTTCTAGGATGGGTTCTGATGTTCGATTAAATATTAAGCGAATCATATAGAAACGAAACCCACGTGTTCGTTCTATAAATAGGTACACATCGAATTATATAATCATTAAAAGAAGTCCAACATTCATAACATCTTGATGTATTAAAACATAACTAGAAATGTGTTTATTCAAATGGTTATAATATTATAATAATATGTGGTTCTCCGAAACTACTTTATTTCTGTTTATTGCTAAAGATAATAAATGTACAAAGTAATCGATTTGTACTTTTTTTATCTGGCACGCGTAAAAATAAACATTTAAATGTTTTTAACAATCAATAAGTGATTGTTTTCAATTGTAATGTGAAAAAAAAACATTAACCACCGCAAGTAATTATACGGCAATAAATTGTATCATATTTCAGAGCCAACTAAATACATCCAAAAAAAGCTCATAAACCCATGGCGTGATGGCGACGACAACGAGGAACGCCTCCGGGAAGAAAATAAATCCATTGTATAACATACCGGTTTCGTCGACGAATGTCAAATCATAAAATGTCTAACATTATTCAGAATAAAAATATATTTTCATCATTTATTTCAATTATTCTTCTCTATTTATATATAAAAACGCTAAAACGTGTCACACCGTGTTAATAAACGGTACAACGGCCGTCAGGCGTTCGCAATTAGGTGTACAATACAATGTGCGCCTATGTCCTGCGCGTGTCTGCGAATCGATCGGATTCCCAATTCACTCGGTTATCCGCACCGCAACAGCTGCCTTCGCGCCCTAGAAATGTTATAATTACGGGTTTCGGATCATTTCTAATCGACGTAAGTCACACACCGCGCGGCGTCTACGTACAGCGTAATCGTGTGTGGAATTGGTCTCGCGGGTGCGTTTCAAACTCGTGACCGCATAATGTACGTAGTTGTTGCGGTCGAGCGTGCGGTGTAATTGGTTCGGCGTGACGGGTAAAACGTAAGGGATGGAACAGTCAATGGTGGTGGAACGCGGAGGTTTGGTAGGAAGGAAAAAAAAAGACGTATAATGACGTGCACGTATTTTCGCGTTAATTTGGAGCGCATACGCGAGAATGACGACGACGAACCGTTCTTGTCGTCCTTCGGCCTGCGAGTATGACGATAACGCGTCATTATCCTGTGCGCGCGCCCCGCAGTAATGTAGTCGTCATCGTTATGTAACGCGATCACGCGCACCCCACAGCGCGTTGTACTATTATTATTTATCATTACTATTATTACCGTACGGAGTGTAGGATTTTTATTTCAAGTGCGCAATGTTTAATACATTTTTCGACCGGGTTTAGATTATTTAACATCGACCACCACCGCCATTCGGACCCCGGTCGGGCTTAACTTTATGTTGTTTACGTCTCGAGTTGCGCCTTGATAAATGGTCGGCATCGGCGGCGGCGGCGGGAAAAGCGCGTAATAAATGCGTGTCCTTTGTGCTGTGTACTGCATTGTATTTATATATATATATATATATATATGGTATACAAAGAGGAAATTATTATTCCGCCGTCGTATGTGCACGCCGTGTAGTTGGATGTTGCCGCCGCGGGCGTCTGCGTGTGAGCGAAAGAATCGGTGATGGAGAGAGAGAGAGAGAGAGAGAAAGATGTATGAGAAACGATAGATATAAATAAAGGAGAAAGAGAGATGGTAGATAGAGATGGCAAAAGTTGCTTTTCCACCATATACACTCGTTGCAGTCGTCGGTTTAGCGAAACCAAAGTACGGGGAGCTAAAAATTAATACTCTTAAGATTCTCTGCGGTCCACACATAAATATATATATATACATTGGTGATGTATGTCTTTTACGAATATTCGTCGTCAAGCATCGGACTAGTATGTATACGCGCGCGTATGGTACTCCAGAGAATAAACAGTATAATCCATTACGAACTTCCGCCGCCGACGGTCGTCACTTTTGTAATTCTTCGTACAACTACTTACACCTTTATAACATAAATCGGGGATCGGCAAGTAATTTTCACTGGAGTCCGGATGATCAAAATTAATAAATGATGCCCGTAGAAGTTAATGTATTCCATTGTATTATTAAACAGTAGAATTAACTATTAAGTATACGGTTATCACTGAAATGATTTTAAAAAAATAAAATAGCAATTAGAATTTACAGGGCATATTAAATGCGATGAATCAAGATATGTGTATTTATTTATAAAATATATCAATTTTGATTATTCGTCGTTATCACGATTATTTGAAAAATTGAATTAATCCGTTCAAGCAGCATATTATATTATTATTATATTATAATACAAATAACAATATTTGTACTGTGATATAACATGGTATGTACATACCTAATGACATTTTGGCGTTGTTCAATAAACGACATCGAGTCACGATGATATTGTATGTGTGTACATGAAACGTACGAGCGTTGTATGTATAGATATTATTGTCACCATTACAGCGAAGTTGGCGAAATATTTTTCTTCTCATATTTATCTTTTCTTTTCCATTGTTTTTTCCTCCGTGCACTTTTACTCTACGTGTATATTACTCCAAAATCAAACTATCGAACCCTCCTCAATCCCGCACGCGCCTGCACTTAACAACCGCGGAACTTTATTGCTGGAGACCAATATTTTTGTAGCTCCAAAATTTAAGTCCACGTTCCGTCGTATTATTATTATTATTATCTTTGTCTTGAAATGATTACGGTGTGCGTGTACATCTGTGCGGTTACCAGTAGTTTGTTGTCGTTAAAGTTTCGGTTAACTGAATTCTGTGATATTTGCGGAATTTCACTGTCAATTTCTCTCACACTCTCTCACTCTCTCTCTTGATGTGTGTACATATATACATCCTATACATATATACGGAACCAAGTACTCGACGCCACGGAGTTCGGAAAGAATCCGAAGAATTTTTTTCCGATACTAAACTTGACGCCCCGTCGCGAAACGTTTGTCTTACGTCAAATTCGTCTACAAATTTCAAAAACTAAGTTCGACCAAACATAAGTGAATTGGTACGGGCAGATGAGTCACAAAGGCCGGCTCATCAGCCGTCTCCGAATCACATAGATCTTGACGTCTCGTAATAGCCACCGTCAATGCAGTTACAATTAACCTTGGTAGAAGTTTATTTGCAAGTATTATTGCAAATATATACAAAGTGTTCATTAACTGTAATAAGACGATGAAACTAAAGAGTACTCATGATTAAATTTAGTTATATTGCATCCAGTGATGTAGTGCTAAAAATATAAATGAGTATACGCCAAATTTTGTCAAAAATAAAATTTCCACAGTAAAAATATGATATAGGGGGCTTCACACCCCTCACCCACTAAGATTTCTTAAAAATATAATTTCTCAATCATCAATCATGAACTATACAATATTATTTATTTTTAATGTAATATAACTCAGTACTCTATTTTGATTTTGTTTAAACTTTGTGCTTGATAAAATGTTACAGTAATGTCACACATATTACAATTTACATTTTCATTTTTATTTATAGAAACTATAAATTATAAAATATTGCATAATCATTTAACTTATTGCAAAATAATTTTCAAGTGATACTTAATACATGACGAATTAAGATTTTAAAATTTTAAGATGGACGAAGATAATACAATACATTTCACATGAAACATCAGTGTAAAATTATAAATTGACAAATGTTAATATATTTTTAAAATAAATAAGAAAACTAAAGAGTGGTTATACGCATGTACATGACCGTGAACCCATGGGCTTGGGTGTTTTTATTGGGTACACGCATATTCTGAAAAAATGGAAGTGGGTACACGTCGTTTACCCCCATGTTTAACCCTCCACTACACCACTGATTACATCAGTAGACGGTATAATATAATATAGTGTTTTGGTGATGATTTTAATTTTTTAACGTTAGTATAAATTTCTTTGTAATTTACGAAATGATCAGTCAAATACAATATGATCAAAAAGTGGTATGAATATTGTTGGTATAAATATTATAGATCTCTTGTAATATTCTAAAGTGAAAGTTGAATGATACGTTATTCCGATTATTTTTTTATTTTTTTTTTATTTTAGTTTGTTGTTATATGGTATTTTAACGTCACTAACTCTTTAAGTATTGTACGATCATCCTCTAATTTTATTTTAAATTTATCATTTAAATTTTTATATTGGTGAGAATTAAACTGGTTTAGAATTTTTCCACCTATTAAAAAACTTTGAAATTAAAAAACACACATGTTTGTGATTTAAGTGACCAACATGATTATGTGAAAATAAAACGCAATTTGTGCATAATATTTTAGTCAAATATTTATGAATGAAATTATATTCCACTATGACTGTTTCTTCTCCTTCACCATTCTTCTAACTATTGGAGTCGGCCACTTTTGTCCAAAACCTCCACTCGATTTTCTACATCCCCTAAATACACACCGACAGCCCTCATATCGTTTTCAATTGTATTCAACTATCTTCATTTTGGTCTTCCTCTTCCTCTTTTCCCTTCAACGTTCATTTTCATAATCACTCTTACTGCTTTTGTTTGTTTTCGCCTCATCACATTACGCCGTAACTATGTAATATAAAAATTAAAAAATAGCCAATTTGGAGGTAGTTCGGACCACCAAAACCACTCTCTGAGTACGTTCTCGTACGAAACCAGTGTTATTTTATTTATTTATTGTTTTTAATATCGAATACATAAACTTATAAGATGTTTGATTTTACAATGGTTGGTTTACTTATATGATTTTCATGTACCAATACTCATGTTGTGTTTGAGGAAGCATCCCTTGGTAACTAAACACCCAAGTAGTCGTCGCTAACTCCCGAGACGCCGAGTTTACATTTGCATTAGCGTTGCCTTAAACGAATACAATAACTACTGTATTTGTATATATATAATTACATGTAGCTACAACGCGTACCTTGAAAATTGGTTTGACTTTCGACTATAAGTTGTTTGCTCTTTATATAATTTATATTACTAAATAATATAGAATAATTAGAGATTTATAATTATTTTTTTTTTTAAATATACCTAGTTCCGATTCGTTTATGGTACAGTATGATCAATAAAAGGTTTTCCTCATTGGTGAATACGGCCATAATAATAATTATTTTTATTTTGCTTAACATATTTATTATAACACCAATTTGGTCGGAATATATTGTTTTTACTATGAAGTTATTTTTTTTCCTTTTGTAAATCCTATAGTTACACCTCTGGTAGTGATGACTTATCCTCCGGCCATATTTTCCAACGGATTCCATGAAATCGTGTTGTGCAAAATGTTATCGATGAACATAATAATATAATCACTGTTGAGCTTTTCACCATTTTATTGTACTCTATTAATTTTACCCGTGTAATGTGCATCATGTTATTATGTTTATACTGCGATCCGGTACAGTGCACAGATATGATGTGCAGTGTAATATAGTAATATAGTAGTAGTGGTTAGTAGTTATGATTATTATGTACAGTATAGGTGTGTGAGCAATGTATGGTGTAGTACAGTGATTCTCAACATTTATACTAAGGTGGCCCATAAATTTCCATTGTGTTAGTTAAACGACCCTCAAAAAAAAAAAAAAACCTTTTATGCTTTAATATAATAACATTATTAATAATTTTATTATAACGAGTTTTTCGTATACTTTAACGCCCCATACTGTAAAACGAAAGTCTAATAAATATAATTAATTAATTACATTTAGATAACTGAGATATTTGTCTTGTCATTAGTTTATAAACCATGTAAAATATTTTGCGACCAAGGCTGGTAAAACTCCGGTGTAGCGTTATTATTACAATGGTATCAAGGTGATGATCATTTTTAACATTCTCGTAAAACATTACAATTCGTACAAGTCATCCGTAATCGCCATGAACGTATTTAAATTATTCAACTGTACGGAATTACGCATACGTTTACTAACGCTATTATTGTGCACACGCATAAAATTACAATTATTACGATCGCACCTCGTGCAGAAGTTTGCATTACGTATAAGGCGAGTGAAGTGAGCGAGACACCGTTTTTTCGAGAAAAACGATATGAAAGAGAACAAAATAATTACGATAGTAATATCCGTTTTTAGTCCGGGAGTGACAATGCAGTGTAGTAGCAGGGACGGATCGGAAGTTCGCGGTGGGTTTTTAACGTTTTTAAAATTTCCCTCGTTAAACCTTATCGACCTCGAAAACAGGCTCGTTCGGATAGTGACTTGAAAAATGTCAATCGTACGACAACAACGACCATGGTACATATATATACACCCCGTCTAGAAATCATGTGCCGTTTAACTGTTATTATTACGATTACGATTACGACTATTATTGACCGTCCCGAGTACAAAGTCCGTTTGCGCGGAGCGTATAATTGGGTTTTAACGTTTTGCGACACACTGCGCTTCAACGTTACGAGTGAATTAAATATACATAGGTGTATACATTAGATTATTCAATATTATATAACAAGTATTTATGGTAATAATTTTACGTAAGTCTGAGAAACGGATGCGAGTGCGCGTGCGCATGTGACTACATCGATAAGCCTTTTTATTATCCTTTACATCTCCCTGCACGTCACGCGCGCATTTTTCCTTCATTTGAACTACACCACTTGCATATTCCTTTAAATAAACATACATACGCGCTCACGTACGCGTGATATGTAATGCTGTTGTTCATGTTCTTAAAACTATTAACATCATCATCATGGACATCACGTTAACAAATTTACTGTTTTCCGCGCGAAATCAGTAAAAATTCAACGACATAATACCGAAAGAAAGTATTGAAAATTGACAGCACACGAACAAGGATTTCAACGAGTTTTAATATATAACAACATGAACTGTGGCAAGGTCGATTCGTTGTATTTCGTCCCAGTTGTCGTGTGCGCCGCCGCGTTGTTGCAAGTAAGCCGATTATAGATAATAACTTAATATTATTATTTTACACACCGTGTCATAAAGTTATCATTATCATATTATCATTATAACTGTCGTTGTTTTCGTGCACGTATTGTCGTCCGCTGGACGTTCAGCTTTATCAATTTTTATGAGAAAATTTTCGACAAAGCATCGGTTCCGGTTGTTTTTTTTTTCTTAAATCTACGTAGACAATAGTGAACTCATACTTGTTTAGTTATTCATTTCGCTCTGAACCCTTTTCCTCCGGAGGTGTTGTTTATCCCGTGTCGTACGTGTTCAATACACATCACTTCTTTAGTTCGTGATAATAGAGTTATTTACAAACACACTTTAAATATAATAAGGGCTAACCATCCCATAATGTTCACTTCGATAAGCTTACAACGCATCTTAGCAGCAGCTGTTAGTCCACGTCGCTTTCGAATCCCCATTCTTAGGTCTCTAATTTTATCCACCATGACGTATATTTATCGCAGCGGCTGTCCTGAGACAAGTGTACAGGAGTGATTAAATGCGGTAATACACCCATCTCGTGCAAACGGAACAGCGTCAATACGGTTTGGCTTAGATTTTATGCGGATATGGCGAGAGCACTCGTTAAGAGTCCCAATAACCTTATATCTCGATGGCAACATCGGTAAACTATATTTGCGCAAAATTCTTTTGGTAGCAGTGGTTCCGCATCGACGTGCTTTTTTTTAACCCAGAAAACAATAAAAATAAAAACGAACTAGTTAGATATGAATACTCGTTTTACCCGAACACCTAGGTTATCATAATGTTAACATAAATAATCAAAAATTCAATGCCATTTGAACTTTGAACATTACCATAATATTATCGATAAATAATCGTGAATACAGTTTAACGGATTGCTTTAAATAAATTAAGAGTTATAATATTGATTATTTACAAATAACACATGTTACATAACGGCATTAAAATATATTTTTCGAGCAAATTTTTATCACCATACTTATAATGCATGTCTTGAAATATAGGATCAAGTAGAATAAGATTTTACAAAAATAAAACCTAATAATTTGTCGTAATAAAATGTTATAAAAAAACAAAACATCTTATAATTTTTCTAGTTGAATTCTTGATTCAGATTAAATTTAACGAAAAAAAGACCTGACGTGTATAACACCATTCAATAGTCAAATAATAATATTTTACATGGAATAAAAAATAAAAAATAAATTTAATATGTATATGATATATGTTCAATTTTAGTTGTTTTAAAAAAATAATTATTTCCACACATGTTCACGAGTCAATCGTGCGTTAAATCTTACTAATCTATTTTATTACAGGATATTTGAAAGTAGCTGATAAAGTTAAACTATTTTTCATTAGAATGATCGGATCCTCCGCATTATTTTTGCAGTGATGCTTAATTTACGTGATTACGCTTTACAATAAATTATATGCATAGTGTATAACAACAGTGAAACACAATTTAATTTTCGTGCAAACGAATTTCGTTTCTTTTATCATACTATATTGCTACGTGCATTACAAATCGAATTGTTTAAATCGAGAAAAATTTATCATTGTTAAATTTATTTCACGAAACGAGTCGCAAGATAAAATGTATTGCGATTCTGTGAACAGTAAACTACCGTGAAACCAATCGGGTGAAATCGCGAAATCTCCACATATTATCAAACTTTATTGTAGTTTATTTTATTCCCTCACTCCGATCAAAATTGTCCCGGGTCAATATTATTATGGTCAACTTAGGAAAATATAAAAAATCACCTTCGTACAACAAGAATCCTCAATAATGTTCTAGTCTACGTCCGTTAAACCATCCTTTTAGCAAGAAGAAAAGTAAGAACAATCAATTTCCCAGCAATAACCTCTACATAAGTATAAGATTAATTTAATTTATCCCTTGACTATTTGTCCACCTCCTACCATATCCCTTACCTCTACCGTTTTTAGTTATCCCTTAAGTTATTACAATTTACCATCCTCATACTAATTTTGTTCGTAGTATGATTCTAAAATCATTGTTTTTTTTTTATGTTATTTTCCGTCCCTTAAGTAAATCTTTCGAAAAATTAACTCGGACTGCCGAAAAAATAAAGGAAAATTGCTACAATACGCGTTAGCATAAAATATAACATTTTTGTAATATAATAAACAAACGTAGGATTATATTATTTGGAACGAACGTTAAACGTTTAAAACGAAAACAACAATATCTATAAAAAATAGAATAATTTTTTTCCTAATGGAACTGTTTTTTCAGTTTTATTCCTCTTTTAACAGTAAATAATATAATGAACTCGACGCGTTTATTAAACCAATATTTTGACACTCTTAAAATAGGTATATGTATATGAATAAACCGTAAAAATTAGACGGTGTAACCGAAGAAAATAATATTTTTGAAATTGTAAATAATATTTGCAAAGCGTGCAGTTATAACTGTACATTTTATTGATAATTTAAAATAAAAAAATAAAAATCTCATGCTGTGGTATAAAAATAAATTAAACGAAAATAACGAAAAGTAAAAAAATTGTAGGTAACACCGCGAGAACAATATTGTATGGGTATTTTATTTCTATACATATCATATAATATATGTTTATAATAATATATGTAAAACATAATACTTAAGTATAAATGTTTATAATGTTTACGAAACGTGTAGAAAATTTAAGTTATTCGACTATTGAATTTGTGCAAATACAAATTAGTTAATTAATAAAATTATTTTTAAAAATAGATATTGAATGTTCATAGTGAAAAATTACAAATTAAATTGTGATGATGATTTTGCTAATAGGTTCGAAAAATAAAGTCTCATGTCGATATAGTATAATATATAGTGTTAATGTGACATTTGTCTGTACGTAAATGTTAAATTTAGATAAACACAAAAAGTTTATTAATTTACTTTCCCCTGAAAAAAGATCGATTCATCATTAATATAAAAAAAAAAACTACCTATAGTTTCGTCAATGGGATCGAATAAGATGGTTATTTTAGCTGTCTCTCTCTCTCTCTCTCTATATATATATATGTATATATATATACCATGCAACATGTAGGAACTTAGGTATTTTCTATTTCTAACGTACTAATTTATTGATGCATTAAAGACCTTACATTCATCGTCTAGTATTCTCGAGAACGACTTTCTCGCGTATTAAATGTTTTTTTTCTGTTCATTCTCCAAAAAATATTTTATTTAAAAAAAGTTTAATTTTAAAATTGACATTTTCAACATCTTTATAATTTACGGTTGTCACTAATGAACAGATGAAATGTCTTTTGAAAATTGTTTTCAGATCAATAGCTTATGGTCGATATATTGGAAACAGAAAACGATTAAATACTCTTTTATAATATATTGATCTTGCGATAGGCAAAGATAAATAATTACCTAAGATTATAGTGTATATCATTGTTCTTCTATTTTTTTTTTTTTTTTTTTTTATTTCGTTTTTAATCGTTTTTTGCTACGTGTTCATAAAGTTTCATCTTATATTGTATGTATCCAAATGCTATCTCTAAATTGTTTTATTCTTTTAAATATATTTTACGTATTTCACGTTGAAAATATCAAGGATACCTTACGTCGGATATTATAAATGTGATTAAAAATGTACTTTTCAGAATTTCATTGTAATCGAACTGTGTTCTGATTTATTTTGCTCCCCCTCTCTCTCCCCCAGCACATCACTTCAATGTCGTCTGTATATGTATGTATTACAAACGCTCCCTCCGAAAATCTATAAAAGCATATACTAATAGTAATAATAATTAATTAAAAAAACTTTTTATTGGTCTTCATTGGCTGATCCGCATTCCGCCGCACTCCTACACCTTTACAGCACAATTACGGGACCCAGATCGATGATTAATCGCGTCGTCCGGCTGCATAGCAATCGTTTGTCTTTCCGCCTCCTGCCCCGCTCACGTTCCTGTCGGTAATCTAACTGAACACTGTCGAGAAATAATAACGATACAACGACCGCGATGACGACGAAAAAATCCTCGGCCGGCCGTGTTAAAACAACGTACCAGTAACGCGCGTGGAAAGCGATATCCCACTGACCCCGGCTGCGGCGTACACAATGAAGTTATGGATAATAATTATACGACCAAGTGTCCAATGCGGCGGGGTACATTTATCTTGGACTTCTCCCCGAGCCCTTCGTCCGCCCTCCGCCCATCACCTACTCCACGCGCCAAAACCACCAAATTAGCTCCGCGCGCATATCTTAATGTGCTCGTAAAACACGAACGTCTGTGCCGTAAATATGACAGTTTTAATTTGTTCCCGGAGCTATTCGTATTAAAGTTTTGCACGCCCAGAGTTTAAGCTCATCTCGTCGACGGAGAGCGATTACGGACAACGGTACACACCCTCATCCGCCACTCCCGTGTATGCATATACTAATGTGTATATATATTAGAATACGAACATACGTGTATGTTGTGCAAACGATGATCGGAATTTAGCGGTACAGTCATTTTCTGAAGTCTCCGGGAAAGTAAAGATTTCGGGTTTTACAATTTCATAGAACTTCTCCGTTGTACTTCGCATATTTATACCAGGACAAAACTACTGTCACTTGAAATCTACCAGCAAATCAACCGGTATACGTTATTTTTCTAGGTTATTTTAAAGAATACTTACGGTCTATACGAACATTTGCATAATATCAATATTTGTTTAACAAAAGGAGCAATAAATAAAAATATAAAGAACACGAGAGAGAAAGGAAGCTGATTCATTAGTAGCACCTCTTGTTAATTGATGTATTGTGTTTTAACTTTTGATTTATATTAATATTCAATTTTTTTATTTTATTCTATTTTTTGAACTGTTGGATTATAACAATTGCATCTAAGTGTTTCTTGGCCAATTTCTTATTAGTCTTTATTGAGGCTCTTTTGAAATAGTCTGTGGAGAAATTTGGGAGATAAGTAAATTCTTGTGGTCAGAGAATTTGTTGTAA